CAGTGTCATCGATGCGACGAACATAAAATTGAGCAAGCTTCAGAGGACAGCGGAAGACAGGAGGGCCTGGCGTGATCTGGTCCATGGGGTCGCAAAGAGTCAGACTCGACTGTGCGACTGAACAACAAAAATCACATACATCTGAATAACTGAGCTCTGACTTAGGAAAGCTAATGCTAGAATAGATGTTGCTAGTCTTTAAGGAGCCAGTAGGCTTTGGTTTTATTTTTTTGCAAATAGACCAGGACAACTTGACCTCTGGGGTTAATCTCCCTATCTAGTGGTGACTAGAAAGCCAGTGTGGTAGAGTGTTGGACAAGGAACAGGGAGTCTCAGGTTCAATTCCTCACAATGCCATGGGAGCTTGTTGGGTGACCTCAGCCAAACCATCTTGATGGGGTTGTTGTGATGATAAAATGGAGGAATTATGTCAGCTGCTTTGGGGGAAGGGGGGGAGTAAATAAACAGAGGTATGTGCTCCTCAGTCCTGCAACAATTAAGTTGTAAAATGAAATGACAATGAATAGCATATTGGTGAAAAGTGTTCTCCAAATTTGATTTCATTTTTCAGAAATGCCCTGGAAGTTGGCTCATCTACCATCTAATGCAGCCATCATTGTGTCAAACATGCGGCCCAGAGGCCATATCAGCCCCCCAGAGAGCTTCCATCATGCCCACAGTGGAACTGGCCATCTCCTACTTCCAGGTCTGCTGCTGCTGCATCATAGCTTGCTTTTCCAGACTCTCTTAAAGCACTCAGCCATTTCATGTGTTAACCTGGGTCCTAGACTCAGAACTCTGAGCATGAGGTTTCTGTGGTGAATGTCAAAAGGTGGGGAATGATTCCCTGATTAATGTCAGGAAGGAACATTAAATGTTTGAATGTTTGATTGGTTCATCTTGGTATCCTGAGGGATGGAGCAGGAAGGACAGTTGTGGAGGCAAAGTATTTCCTCATAGACATAGGTATCACACAAAAGGGCTAGGTCCAGTTCTGGAGACAGAAGGGCTATTTGCCAGGTGGCTACTGAATAGCTTTTAGAAATGCAGATACTGTAGCTGCTGGAACTCAGCATGGTTTCATATGCATACCTTGCTGGGTGGAGGGGGAAGACTGGAGATTGCTTTGAGGGCTACCTTGTGCAACCTGAAATTGAAACCCTTTTGCACAGCTGTGGCTAGCTCTATGTTTCAGGCCAAGAGTGCCTTTCTTGGTCTGAGTTTGTGGGTCTCTAGTTCAGGTCAGAAGAGGAGTACCCCATTATTTAGGGGTGCCCATGGAAAGGCAGCACCTCTGGGCTATAGTTGGTCCAGGGCAATGGAATGGCCCCTATATTACTGAATTAGATGGCCCACTGGTCTGTTCCAGCAAGGCTCTTTGTATGTTCTTATGATGGGTCAGGGTCTTGGGAGGGGCAATCCTGTGTTATCCAAACAGACAGAAGATGTAATCCTTGATTCACATCAGTTTAATTTATAGTTAGATCGAATTTTTCATTAGGTTTACAGACTGTCCCCCAACAAACACAGTGGAGAGCTTCATTAGATGGACATGTCAACTGGGAGTGAGCATCATTTTCTTCAAAGTGTTGCAGCTCCCCCTTGTGGTTATGTGCTGAAATTACTGAGGAGACAAATGAAGCTAACACCGAGTGAGGGCAATGCTGATGTGAATCCGGACTGATGGGCCAGAAAAGCAGATACTTTGATTTCTTGACAAAAAGTAATTCCTATAAAGGAAGTTAAACTGAGAGTAAGTGGAAGACCCACCACGGGGCAGGACCATGGCTGTGTGAGAAAACGCCAGCCTTGCATGCAGAAGGTCCCGTGGCAACTCCAGTTAAAAGGGATCATGCAGTGGGTGATACAAAAAACTTCTGCTTGAGACCCTGGAGAGCTGCTGTCAGTCTTAGTAGACAGTGCTGACTTAGATAGACCACTGTTCTGACTCTATATATGGAAGCTTCATGTGTGTTTAAAGAGCTTTGTGACAGGGTTCTGATTTGAACTCAGGTCTCCCAAGCTCGAGTCCAACACTCTAACCAGTATAGTACATTGGCTCCCAAGAGCCTGAATAGGGAAACCTGGGATGCCTCTATTGTGTGATCCTTTCCCCTCAGATAGGGGAAGGTTCCTGTCCCCTTCTCTACCTTGCCATGTAAGTGCTGCAATGACATTGTCCTTCAGCCTGATCTACCAAACTTGGGTTTCGTGATGATTTTTAAAAGGGCAATCCCATGCACAGGCAATGTAAAGAAATAGTGGGATCTAACTTGCTTATTTGATAGGCGGTGGTTCTTTCGTTTCTATATGAATTTTTAAACCACAGACTACAGTCGGTCATACCTTGATCTCTGCTGCCACCAAGTGGCCACTTCTTTCTTCTAGGGCAAAGTTTGACTCAGCACAAGCAGCTATGCCAGTCTTTTCTTTTGTTTTCCTGCTTCTGCCAAAGCTCTAGTGCAAGTTGAAAATCTGCTCTGGATCCAACCCATTGGCTACAACCCATTTTGATTTTTTTTAAAAAAAATTTTTATTTTGGGTCTCTACACGCACACTTAGGAATTTTTATTATGATTTATTTTTGCAGGAGGGAGATATCTGCCTCCTGCAAAAATAATAATTAATAAAAATACTAAGTCTATACAGGCCCAGAAAAGACCAGGAGAACAGCTGGAAATTCTAGCAGAGAGTTGAAAGTTAAGGCTGTTCAGGTGGTTAGCTTACATATCTACAACAAACTGTGTTACGTCATGATCCTAAACAGACTGGCACTTTTCTAAGCCCACTGAAGTCAGTAGGCTTAGAAGGGTGTAACTCTCTTGAGGACTGCAGTTAGTGTAACACTGTCAGCCTTTAAGAATTAGATGCCCCTAATACTTATTGAGCTGTGGTGGCTCAAGTGGTTAAGACGCTGAACTGCAGGCTGTGGAAGGTCAGTTGTTCAGCAGTTCGAGACCCAAGTGCCGCATGACGGAGTGAACTCCTGTCTCTAGTTCCAGCTCCTGCCAACCTAGCCATTCGAAAGCAAGAAATTGCAAGTAGATAAATAGGTACCACTTTGGTGGGAAGGTAACAGCGTTCCGTGTGCCTTGGTGTTTAGTCATGCGGGCCACATGACCACGGAAACGTCTTCGGACAGCGCTGGCTCTTTGGCTTTGAAACGGAGATGAGCACCGCAACCCTAGAGTCGGACTCGACTGGCTTTCGAGCAAGGGAACCTTTACCTTTTTAATACTTATCAAAATTTGGGGTACATATGGGAAAGTCCTGCTTCTATGAAATGTCTGTCCAAATATTCATGTAAGTTGACACAGTTCAATAAAATATATAAATGAAACATAGTATGGTGAGCAAGTCATGAAGTATTGTTCTGGATGTCTCTGGCCAGGCCTAGTTTAAGTATAAATGTGCGACTTAAAAAGCCCTAGGCATCTAGGTAGCTTTCCTATACTGGATAATTTCAATGCTGGCTAAAATGATGACGTTTTAGGTTTGTTACAGGTACAGTGCACAAGTGAATACTGCTACAGAATCATGGCTTCTGTTTTAAGCTTTTATTAAAGCACAGCTATTCAGCAATCGTAACATTGGCTAAATCAACAGAAAATTACACTACACATCACTGTTACATAGATAACTGAAGGAGAGCAATTGCATGAGTCCATAAAAGTCTCTTACCCCAAAGGTGTCACAAGCAAGGAGCCCTGTCTGGGAAGAAGCAGCTCTTGGTCAATGTCCCATATTTAATTTTTTTAAAAATAATCTCTTAACAATAACTAACTGTCCCATTTGATAAGGGCACTTGGCTAACTGACTATGTCATAATTTCAAACACCATAGAAGATCTATCATTGGAATGTCTTCTTAAAATATACAAAAACTGGTAGCTCATTCTTGCTACTCGTTATCTTAACAGAGGCTGTGGTCACACAGAGCATTTGCCGTGCTGACGATACAGATGGTAGGTGGATTTTCTGGGCGCGATCACATTGCAACATCTGGGAAGCGTAGAGCTCCCGTGGCTAACCCGAGGCTTCCCGCCGAAGATGTGGAGTAAAAAACTAGTACATCCGAGGTACTAGTTTCCGGAAACCGCAGGGCAAGGGCGGGCATCTGTTTGCATTTCTGGTGGGCTTACGTGGCATCCGGCGCCCGCCGCTGTTCATCGCACACAAGGGGGAGGTTGTCTCCCAAGTCTCCACAGGTTGCGCAACAGCGCCCAACAGCGCATGCGCACAAAGAGCGATTGCTAGTGCGATTGCACAGTGTGACTTCTGTGCCACGCTGCAGGATACCCGTCTGGTCGGCATCTCCCCCCTAACCACGGGACCTCGACCGGGATGTGTGCTCAGGCAGCCGTGCGTTAGTTTCCTCTGGGGCAATTAGCCACACCTCCCCCCCCGCAATATCCAGCCCGTGTGACCGGGGCCAGGGTCTATTTTAAAAAATACTGTTTACACGTTTCTCATACATATGAATACCTTTTGGCCCTCAACCAATACACACCATCTTTGAACCATATCTTCATTTCTGTGAAGTTGAATAACCATAGTCAGATATTTCTTCACACAGGCCTCAAAATAAATGGTTTTAATATGGTTTAGGCACCTTCTAATCTACACAAGGCCATATAATTGTATTTCTTGTTCCTTCTCCAATGCTATTCTACTCTGGGTCTTTTAGAGAGCAACCCTAAGCAGGTCTACTCAGCATTCTACTACAGTCTATTCAATGGGGCTTACTCTCAGGAAAGTGTCCTTAGGATTTCACTGTAAATTCTCTTTTGGGGCATGTTTAGCTGGGAGGCCAGGATAGCTCTGTTTCTGTGTACAGAAACACCTACTATGGTTTTATCTGGCCAGTCTAACAACTGTTCTACTATATTCCTGGCCATACATATCCATAATACTTATCCATACTACATATTGCATACTAAGTCTTTTCAATCCTACTTATTTAGGTTTCTGGAACAGTAAGTCTGAAGAAGTGATATAGGTCTATCTTAGCCTGTGTTCTTCCTTGGATTCTCCTTTCCATCTCCATGAGACACTCTGCATTTTACAAGATACCATTTTACAGACAAAAGCATCTTTTAAAGCATTTTGGACCTGTTTATTCCTCAGACTGTAAACAAATGGGGTCATGAGGGGACATACAACATTATTGAGAACGGCCACCGCTTTGTTGAAGTTTTGCCCATCATATTGCACTGGATTGACATACATAGATATGCAGCTGCCATAGGTGATAGAGACTACAATGATGTGAGCAGCACAGGTGGAAAAGGTCTTCTGCCTACCTGCAGCAGTTGGTATGCGGAGAACGGTGAAGATAATCTTCGCATAAGAAACAATGGTGATCGCTAAAGTTCCCAGTAGAGAAAACACAGCAGCAAGGAAGCTGATGAGCTCCAGGATCTTTGTATCTCCACAGAGGAGTTTGCGTAAAGGACTATTGTCACAGAAGAAATGGTTAATGACATTTGAGCCACAAAAGGGAAACTGAACGAAGTGCATGGTTTGACCAAAAATCAGGATGAAGCCCCCTATCCAAGATAACAGCACCAGTAGCATGCAGAAATGGTCATTCATGATGGTGGTGTACCACAGAGGGTGGCAGATGGCTACGTATCTATCAAAGGACATCACTGTCAGCAGGAAGAAATCCGTGGTGCCCAAAAAGAAATACAGAAAGAACTGGCTTATACAGCCGACAAAAGAGATTGTCTTCCTGCCAGATGCCAGGTTGATTAAGACTTTTGGGATGACAGCAGTAGTATACCCAATTTCCAAGATAGCATAATTTCGGAGGAAGAAATACATGGGGGTTTGGAGATTGATATCTGTCAGAGTGATGACAATAATGAGCAGGTTTCCTGTTATGATCATGAAGTACATGATGAAGAAAAGTGTGAAGAGAAAGATCTCTAGTTTGCGGTTCTCAGTGAATCCGAGTAGTAAGAACTCCTTGATCTTGGTCTGGTTCATCCTAAAGATATATCTTGATTAGCAATAAACTGGAAAAAATGGAAAATGTCAGACCTTCAGAGCCATAACAGTAGTACCTCTGGACCAGACAAATGAACCATCTTGATCAACAATCAAATTTTCAGCAATATGTTTCTGGGAATAATATGAAGAGGACATCCAGTGTCTACATCATAATCCCCTAACCATCAGTGCTCATGGGTCAGAGACATAATGCACTGGATATGGCGGTCCCAATTGGGTACCAGAGCACATATCTTTTGGTAGACTTATCCTCCAAAAAAATCACCTAATTCTCTTTTCAAGCTGTATCTTATAGGTGCAAATTCTGTAAGTTAATAATGTTTGGTGTGAAGCAGGGCTATCTGTGGCTCTACCGGCAAACATATGGAACCCAGTAGGTCTCCTTTAAAAAGACAATCAAACCTTCAATTTACACTATATTGTAAGGGTAGATGGGGTATTAGAATAACCACTATGTGAAGGAAATGGCAGGCACATGCCACTGAAAGATTTTTAGAGATGTTTTACAGAAAAAAAGTTGTAACAGAGGTGAACAGCTGCCAATTTATCCAACTGCACACCATGCACAGCTTTATGCCAGCACACTAAACCAATTTTGCATCAAGATCCTGAGTATAATTAGGGATGGGCACGAACCAGCTCGTGAACTAAAGTTCGTCATGGATTTTGTTTGGTTTGCGAAGCCATGTTGGTGAACCGAATAGCTGCCATGAACATTCATGAATTTTGATGCAGTTTGTGGTGGTTCGTGAAAAGCAGGAAGTGGGGGTTTAAATGCCTCTTTCGTTGAAAAAAGCTGAGTACCCAAATATGAAGAGCAGCTTGCTTTTGTGTCCCTGAATTCACCACACTTCCTTTTCCAGTGTTGTGAGAGTGCAAGGAGATACTGGTTCAATCAATTTTCTCATAACCATTCACAATTCTATAAAACTTTCCCATTCTTCTGCTCCATTTATTTCTAACCTAAAGCTGCCAAACCCTTTAGCCTTCAATCCATAATCTTACTACAATACATAATAGCATCAGAAGGAGAAGGAGGAGGAGATTGGATTTATACCCTGCCCTTCACTACCTGAAGGAGTCTCAGAGTGGCTTACATTCCCCTTTCCCTTCCCCTCCCCATAACAGACACCCTGTGAGGTAGGTGGAGCTGAGAGAGCTCTTTCAAGAACTACTCTTGAAAGAACCAGCAGCTGCATGTGGAGAAGTGGGGGAATCAAACCGGGTTCTCCCAGATTAGATTCCATGCTCCTAATCACTACACCAAACTGGCTCAGATTTCTGAGCAAGGTTTCTCAGTTGTTAGTTGAATTAACTACACCACAAAAAACATCAGGATGTAAAATGATAAATAAATGGATGTCTGTACATACAAAATAGAATCTTTAATGATCTCTATGTTAGACATTGACTTTGGTTCACTGTACTTTTTCCTATCCTACATAGTCTTATCACATGAATTTTGATTGATTTCACTGTGTTTATATAGCTTTCAATTTGATTTTAGACCTTCTGTTCGTTTGTTCTTTCTTTCTTTCTTCTACCAATTCATTGTATTTTTAGTTAATTTTTAAAAAACTTTACTTGGAAATGAATTCTGATAGGGTTCACCTGGTTACACCTTAGTAAGTAGAAATGAGTTAAGATGCAGTTTGATTCAGAAAGTAATCACATTAAATCAAGACAGCAGCTCTCTGGAGAGGAAACAGATACACCGTATAAATAAACAAAGTACAGAGCAAGAAGAATATACATTTTTGATCACCCTTTTTGTCCACCCTTGGGACCCTTCTCCTGACAAAGTTCATGTTTCATAAGCATTATTTTATCAAAAGCACACCTGGTGTCATACTGAGTAGCTCAGATGGCAACTGCCCTTGCCTTCATCCATATTGAGGGCCTCCGTATTTCAAATATTCTCAAGAAATCAAAAGCTGTCCTGCTTTTTCCCCCCTGAAAAGAATACCAATCGACGTACATACAGGTATACCAGCTGCCATAGATGTTTGGTGTGAAATAATACAAGGCTTTTAAGCAGTTGACCAAATAGCTGCATAATGCCTTGCAAAATCCTTATATAAATAACTACCTAAAAGGCATTTTCCCCTATCATTTCCCCCGAAAAAAATTGAGATCTAGCTACATGAAAGGCTGTAACTTTATGATACAGACAATACATTGCATGTTAGTTTTCAGTTGTTACATTTTTGTTATCATCCTAAGCAGAGTTACACCTTCTAAGTCCCCTGAAGTCAATGCATTGTTTATTTAGTATTTGAAATCACATGTTACCCAATCCTTTTAACTGGAGATGCTGGGGATTGAACCAGGGACCTTCTGCATGTCAAATAGATGCTCAGCCACTCCCTAAGCCCTGCTTCTCTTGCTACATTCCAATGTTCTGTTCTTGCCTGAGGGATTCAATAATCTTTTGTCCATGTCACATAAAGAATGCTATGAAAACCTCATACATTTTTTTTGCAAAGCTACCCTGATGTGTTACATCCAAAAAGAAGCCCCATATTAAAATGTCCACAGATTAGATTTCATTGCCAACTCTTGTTCTGTTACAAAATACTGCGTATTATGTGGACAATGTGGATTCAGAAGAAAAATCTCAGTTTAGCATACGTAAAAATAGACACAATGCACAATGCTGGGTGGATAAAAAAAGGATACTGGATAATCTATTTAAAACAAAATAAATCAATTTCCAGAAAATTGGATTTTTTAAGGAGCTGCTGGCCCTTGCTAGGCAGCGAAGGCAGTGACCCATTTCAGAGGTAACTAGCTTTCAGTTCAAACACTTACATTCCGTGGGTCCAATTTCGTGTAGTGGTTAAGAGCAGTGGGCGCTAATCTGGAGATTGGGTTCAATGTCCCACTCCTCCACATAAAGCCAGCTGGGTGACTTTGAGTCAGTCACAGTTCTGTTGGATCTCCTGGCTATACTACACCCACTACTATACAGCAATGATTATTACTTACCTTCCCTGTATTCCCTCCTTTCCATTTAATAATATTGGGAATCCCTTCCACCCTTAGGGATATATAGGATGATGTATGTCTCATCAGATCGTCATGGTTAATGACTCCTTTTGGGGTTCACATGCTCATGGGAGAATAAAAATGTCCTCCTAAGTGGAGTCACACCATTCAAAGCCAGTTATTTTCAATATACTTAAATGGGTGTGAATCTGCTTAGGATGGCCCTGTAAATGTGCTGATTAATGACTCACTGACTTCTCATCTTCTACACAGTAGCTATACTAATAAGTTGCGGGATCCATATGAACGCACACATGAAGCTGGCTTATACTGAATCCGGGGGGTGGGGGGATCAGACCATTGGTCCATTGTAAGCCCACACGCCTGCTACGGTGTTTTTATGAACTGAGTTACTGTACCTGATGAAGTGTGCCATCGCTGTACCTGATGAAGTGTGCCAATGACAGACTGTGCCAGAAACTGACATGCTGTGAGCGCCCAAAAGGGATACTTACCAAAGACTGTGTTCCTGTAATGGTGGTTTTTCCTGAGGTGTTCCCATGTCCAGCAAACGCCATTTCGTTCTAAGCACATGGCCACAGCAAGCAGCAGACTCCATTTCGTTCCAAGGACATGGTCACAGAAAGCAGCAAACGCCATTTCAGAACAACCGCATGGTGACTTACCTCCCGGGGCCCCCCTCCCCCTCGCACCAACGGACAGCACGTGCTCACAAAGACCCTATTCAACCTGGCTGTATGGACATGAGTCATCCATCTACATACGAATACCCCTAGCCCAGGTGTCTTGACTGAGTTAGTCACTCGATCTCAAATTGCCCTCCAGTTTCCAAGCCCTCCCAGAGAAATACAGTAGCCAATCCCAGACCCTTTGGCTATGACAGAACACAGCATCACAGGGGAGATCCTCAGGGCCCAGCTCCTCCTCTGACCCTCTCTGATATAATCAGGAACGCACCCACAGCGAGCTCTCTTAGACTCTGCCTCTTTGCCCCCATCACACCCCATCGACGTCCTCTACAAACCCTGCTTTTCCTCTTAAGCCCAGCTTTCTATCCCAGATCCTACCTATCCCTCTTTACGTTCTAGAAGTGCACAGCTAGAACTTCTTAGCACGTGGTCTTAGCTGGTCTGAGTCCGGTCTGAGTCCATTTGCTATTCCTTTCCATTTTCTCCCCATCCTTACCCCTTTGCTTGAAGTTTGGAGCCACGCAGAAGCAGCTAGGTAATTATACCCCAAAGCATCAACCAACGTTACCTGCAAATTGCAACTGTGCTGAATTATTCTCTCTGTATTTCCTAGTTCTTGTGTGTTGTGGTTGTTGTGTGCTTATTGTGTGAAGTGTGTTAGTAAAATATCATTTTTATTAAGGAAGTCTGCCTCAGCCTCTCATTGGTAACCTCGGAATCAGTGCCATCCTCCGTAAACATTGACGGTTGTTCCCGAAATTAATAAACTGTACCAAAAACTGTACCAATTGTTTCCATTTTGGAGCAATTCGGCTAACACCATCAAGGTCAGTATTGTCTACTCAGACTAGCAGCAGCACTCCTGGGTCTCAGTCAAAGGCCTTTCACATCACCTACTGCCCAATCGTTTTAACTATAGCTCCTGGGGCTGAACCTGGGACCGTCTGCATGCCAAGCAGTTTCTCTACCACTGAGCTACTTGGGTAACCAGAACTGGGTCATCATCATAAGCCAGTCATGTGCTATTTATTTTTATCTAAAATAAAACCCAACAGCAACGGTGCACTACTTTTTCAAAATGATAATCAAGGCAGACCCAGTTCACCATCCTACAATGAGTTATGTAAGCCGCCTTGAGCTTGAGCCAGTTTTTACCGGCAAGGCGGGTATAAATTGGAAAATAAATACCCACACACAGGGGTCATTTTGTAGAAAAAGAGGTGCAGGAGCTCATTAGTATAACTTATTAGCATGACTTATTTGCATATGCCACACCCCCTGACATCACCGGAAGTGTGTCAGAAGGCAACACCCACCACTCAGGCTCCACTGGACTGTTTTGGATTCCTAGCTATTGGGGGGGAATGTGCAGATCTGCCCTCACAGCTTGTACCTGAGTAAAACTTGGTCTTAAAGGTGCCACTGGACTGTTTTGGATTGCTAGCTATGGGGGGGGGGATGCACAGATCTGCCCTCACAGAGGAGAGAGAGCTTGTACCTGAAGGCGGGCCGGGGGGGCTCTGCAACTTACCTGGCTACTTCTTGCTCCTCGTGGCCCAACTGAGGGCTGCTGGGAGCAGGGGGTGGGGCTTGTTGCATGTGCCCGCCCCCTGGGCTCCTTACTGCCGGAGCTCCACTCCTGTGCACTCCCACAGGAAATGACCCCTGCCCACACTTATCCTTACTGGTCCCTCACATTACTACTCCATTTGCTTGGCCTATATTAATGCACTACCAATTTCAGACCGATATAGGAGATTCTGTAACAGCCCAAGTGAACAAAGGATCTGTCCATTTGGCCTTCAGATTCTTTTTCATGCATATTCTGTAGTAGCTTCATCGATCTGGTAACCCAATTTCTTGTAATATTCCCAGACAATTCAGATCATCACACACTCAATCTCTTGTTTGGGAATGAATTTCACAATGCTATTGCTCTATCCAGATATATTTCAACTGCTCTTAAAATTTTAACAATCACCATTAATTCAGTGTAAGGATAATCAAGAAGCAAGCCTCGTGAATTTCACTGTGTCAAAACACTACATATTAAGGATTTGATCACGTATGTGTGTAACTATGCAAATATTTGAAACACAGCATACAGAACCTGTAATTTCACTAACTGCACTTGCTGACAAACATCTTAGCTTTCATTTTTACATCGTAGAATAGCCATGTTTTTCTACTCTATCAGGAGCCAAAATGCTGGACAGTGGTCAAGCTGTTGCACAGTAAATACAAAGAATCCACACAAGAAGTGTAGAATGGGGAGTGGGGGTGGCAGAGAGTTACTCTGGCAATTATTCAGATCAGGGTGTGACAAGCTTGTCTCTGTCATAAAAGTGTGGAGGGCGGGTTATTGTCGTCTGTACCAGAACAGGAAGAGTTCTTCTTTGTAGATGAAGACAAGCTCACAAGAGAGACATAGCAATTCCTTACTATGGATCCCTGTACAACTCTTGAGCTGGATGTTTCCTGAAGTTGATTTCATGCAAATGGTAAAATAACTGAGAAAAAATCCCACCAATGAGGAGATCTCCTGGCTGGTACCATTCATGTGGAACAGGGAGGGGATCTTGCATGCTACATTTGGTGGTCAAGACACTGCACGTGATTGGAGGCATAAGCAACAGTAGCAGTTCCAACATCCTGCCATCAATAAATATCTGTCACGTGCCTGATTCCAGACTCATCTGGCCTTTGGATGGCTGCTGAGTCTGCCAGTACACAATCTAAAAGGAAACGGATTCTCCATGTTGAAAACCCCTTTGATGGCGTATTTAAAAATGCAGCACGTGAGGGATCAAATTTATGATGAGAGAGTTCCTCCTTCCAGCTCTCAAAGCCTCAATGGTTTTATAACTATTTCCGTGCTGATTGGTTCTCAAAGGCAACAGGGAGGTTTAGAGTGGAGATCAAATTACAGTGATTTGGACAATTCTATTGGGAAATTATTACTTTTGCCGATGGTAACCCTGGAAAATTTAGTAGCAAACAGGGTGTCCCCCCTCCCTGATCTGAGCACAATTTCATTCTGTGCCCTAATGAGAACAAATGGAGGCTAATTCCAGCCTTGAAAGGTGAGCAAATGTAACCCAGAAGAATCCTGGTTGCATAAATCCGTCAACTAATTTTCTAATTGGAGAGTTGGGAGGGACCAGATCCAAATGAATAAATCACAGAACCCTTGTGGTTTTGCAGCCAGTTATGAAACTGCTTGAAGGGGGAGGGAATCAAAGTTTTATATTTTTCAAGGTAACAAAAATCATTTATATATATTCAAGGTAACAAGCATCATTTATATATAAAAGCCCAGTGTATTGGAACTTTCCGGCTACCATTGGCTCCATCAGCCGCCACTCAAGAGTACTTTTGTTCCATAGCCTGGGGGCTAGGTCCACTCCTCTCCCCTGCCCACTGCCATTCCCTGTCTGAATGAACTGCCAAAACTGCTGTGTGGCTCACTGTCCCCTCAGTGGCTGTTGCTAGGCAACTAAGCTTGTTTCTATCAGTAAAAAGGCAAAGGCAGGAGGCCCTTTCTAGGCCTACTTTGGCCTTTGTGGGGAACTCATTGGGGCCAGTCCTGACTACAGTTGCCAACTCCAGGTTGGGAAATTCCTGGAGATTTTGTGATGGAGTCTATGGAAGCCAGAGGTCTCAGCTGAATAGAATGCCATAGAGTTCACCCTCGAAAGCAGTTATTTTCTCCGGAGAGAGACCTAGGTTCTTGCTATGGAAGCTGAGTGGGTGATTTTGGACCAGTCACAGACTTTCAGCATAACCGACTCATAGGGTTCTTGTGTAGGGGAAATGGGGAAGAGAAGAATGAATTAAGCTGCTTTGGGCCCTCATTGAAAAGAAAGTTGTGGTATACATACATACATACATGGTCACAGTGTCACTAACAAAGGAAGAAAGGTAGGCATTAAGAATCACAACCCTTGTTATTTTTCCCTCCTCATTAGTTCCTGTCTGCTGTTCAACTCAGGTTTCAACAAAACAATGTAGCATTTTGGGGAAAAGATACAGCCTAGTAACCCAGCACTGGACACCAGGATAGAGAAAATCTCCACAGCTACCATGGATTTCCCTTTGGTGCTCAGGTAGGTTGGAACAAAAGAGATCCAAACACTGCAAAAGATCATCATGCTGAAAGTGATGAATTTGGCTTCATTGAAACTGTTTGGCAACTTCCTGGCTAGGAAAGCCACAATCAAGCTGATGAGGGACAGGAATCCCATGTAGCCTAGAACAATATAAAACATGGTGGCAGACCCTTCATTGCATTCTATTATAATCTTTTCATTCAATGTCTGTGTATCAAAATCTGGGAATGGTGGTGAGGTTCCCAACCACACCACAGAAATGCCTGCTTGAATGAAGGAACAGAAAAGGACAACTGAGTTAGTCAGACTTCTTCCCACCCATTTCCTCATGCTAGACCCAGGTTTGGTTGCCATGAAAGCTACAACCACAGTAAAGGTTTTAGCCAACACACAAGAAACAGCCACTGAGAAGATGATGCTAAAAGCAGATTGTCGGAGGAAGCATGTCACCTTTCTTGGTTGGCCAAGGAATAACAAAGAAGAGAGGAAGCAGAGCAAAAGGGAAAAGAGAAGTATGTAGGTGATATCCCGGTTGTTGGCTTTGACAATGGGGGTATCTTTGTATTTAATGAAAATTACTAAAACTACAGTTGTGATAAAGGCTAAAGAAACTGCTACAGAAGCCAAACTAATTCCTAGAGGCTCTTGAAAAGACAGGAAGCTTATTGTCTTGGGAATGCATCCATCTTGATCTTTGGTTGGATATTGATCACTTGGGCATTCGATGCAATCATCCATGTCTGGAAGAAGATGAAGAACCATCACAGTAGCATTTGACATGAGGTAGATACAATATGGGTTTCAAAACCATATTTTGGAGCAGTGGAAAACATTATTCATGTTTAACATTTACTACTGGTGCTTAGTTTGGTGGTACTTTGAATCACTAGTTTAATCACTAGTTTAATTGAAATAGTGGTGGCAGAAAAGCTCCAGAAATTCCTGGATGACACATTGGTGTTGGACCCAAGGGGCAGCGATGGCTCTGGTCACTCTCACAGATGATCTCCACAGGTAGTTGGACTGAGGCAGGTTAGCACTGCTGCTTTTGCTCAATCTTATGGCAGCGTTCGACATGGTCAATCACAATGTTTTGACCCACTGCCTTGCTGATGCAGGAGTCTGTAGGATAGCCTTATAGTGGCTCACCTCATTTCTCTATGGTTGGGGACAGAGGGTGGTTCTGGGAGAGAGGGGTTCCTCAGGGGAAAATCTTCTCCGCAATGTAATTTAACATCTACATGAGCCCCCTCACCCAAATGGTGCAGAGTTTTGGGCTGGGCTGTCATCAGTACACTGATAACACCCACCTGTACCTGTTGATGGGTGGCCAGCCATGTACCACCCCTGCGAATCTGTCTGAGGGTTTGGAGGCCGTGGTGAGGTGGTTAAAGCAGAGTCAGTTGTGACAGAATCCTGACAAAATGGAGGTTCTGTGCCCAGGTGGAGGGAATATGGCTTTGGGATGCCAAATCTTGGCTCTTGTCATGGTGCCCTTATTACTGGCACTGACTGTCAGGAGCCTGGGTGTGATCTTGGATGCCTCCTTGTCAATGGAGGTCCAGATCACAAATGTTGCTAGACTGGGTTTTTTCCAGCTGTGCCAAGTCAGACAACTGGCCCCTTACCTGTCTTGTCCTGACCTTGCTACAGTAATCCACACAAAAGTCACCTCCAGGAGAGACTACTGTAACTTGCTCTATGTAGGGCTGCCCTTGAGGCTGTCCTGGAAACTCCAGCTGATACAGAATGTGGCCACATGGGTCCTTACTGGGACCACCCGTAAGGCACATATTCAACCTGTGCTGTGAGAGCTGCACTGGCTTTCAGTGGAGTACTGGATCAGGTTCAAAGTTATGGTGTTAACCTTTAAAGCTCTTAATGTCCTGGGACTTACATACCTTCAGTATGGCCTCTCCTGGTATACTCCTAGAAGAGCTTTATGCTCAGGAGATAAGAACTTCCTGGTGGTCCCCAGCCCAAGAGACATCCGACTGTCTCAACTAGGGCCAGGGCTTTTTCTGCCCTGGCCCCTACCTGGTGAAACTCTCTGCTGATTCATGCCCTGAGAGACTTGTTGCTGCTCCACAGGGCATGTAAGGTAGAGATGTTCCACCAGCTGTTTGCTTGAGGACAGTGACAATCCTCCATCTGGTCTGGCACTCCTCTTTCTTTCCCCCCACCTCCCTCCTCTACGAGGCAATAACACTTCCAGGAATTATGGCCATCTGAATGGCTTAGGCTGTTCTGAAATGCATTTTATGTATTATTTTAATTCAAACTTTTATAAAACTTTGTTATTTTTATCACTGTTGTATGCCACCCTGAGCCCTGTTTTTTCTTCAAGAGACAGTGGCCTAAATTTCAAATTTAATAAATAAATAAATAATGTCTTTCAGTGATGATCGTTATGATTAGTATTATATATTTAAGCTTGAATAATTTTACCAGGTAATACCAGTAATATGGGATATAATTTTCTTTTCTGTACTTTCAACCATAGAGGCAGTAAGGATTTGTGCGTGTGTGTATAAACAAATGAGTGTCCTTCTATGCTTCAGTGTCGAGCTGGAGAAACACTTTGCCCTTCCTCTCTCATTTCTCCTTGTCTGCCTTATTTAGAGGTAAATCAGGACTCTTAATTCCTTAATGTGCCTTTCCATCTCTGAGAGCCTGATTGACCCTTTTGCTCAGAAAACAAGGTAATGATAATACTGAATTCAGCATTCAGTAACAATGCTAGTGGAGGAAAGAAAAGCAGGATCAAAGGCATTATGGAGCTCAGATTTTGTCCACTTTGTGACATGATGATGCAGAATAAGAACTTTTGTACCATTAATGGATTGGTTCCAAGTTTGGTGAAAGGACTGGATAGTGCTGATTTTAACACTTTGAACTCTCACTGTGATGTGATTCGTTAGACATGTTGTAGGTATACATATATTCAGCATCCCTTCACTGCCATCTTTGAGAGTCACAGATCAAGCAATAGCTGGGCTAATATGGGATTGATTACCCAGCTGGTCCATGGAGTTGTTAAAGTATCCTTTAAAAAGGAATCATCATAAAAAAACTGTTCTGCAGTGTGCTGCTCGTACCCACATGATTTGATCAACTATTGGCAATTGGCCATTCCCACTTTATGGGCCAATTGTGTAAGAAAATACTGGCTTTACCCCTACAAATCTTCTTGAAATGTGCTGGGTTACCATGATCCTTTTCTAAACAAGTTCCAACTAGGCTTTCAATACGAAACTACTTTGGCCTCCCTGAAGTATGATCCTCATTGAGAGATGCATGGGTGAATGTAAGTAAAGTGATTTTTCTTTGAGTTCTACCAAAATTTGACACCCAAATGATTTGACTTGACCCTGAAAGCTGATGTATTACATCACCTACCCTTTTTGCTTGAAATCTTCCCTTCTCCACAAGGAATACAATGGTAGCAGCAAAACTTGTCCCCTTCCTTCTTTTTCTTCTGATAGCCAGGGAGGCAGTAGTCATTGCACACCGAAAGGGGCGCCACCTATTCAAACACATGAAAGGAGTTTAGGAAGGAAGAAATTGGACATTATTGTGCATCAGCTGAGGTGTGTGGGGGGGAACAAGCTTTGGGGTCAGGAAGCAATTTTCTCCAGGCCACTTTGGCCAGGGAACCTGAAGGTGGGTTTGAGGGGGCATCTTCTGGGCATGGAGCAGGAATCATTGGGGTGTAGGGGGAGGTAGTTGTGAATGTCCTGCATTGTGCAGGGGGTTGGGCGAGATGACCCTGGAGGTCCCAACTCTATGATTTGATGAAGATTGATCATTAATGGTGAGCATTACAAAATCCACAGCGATGGCGGTCGATCTCCTTGGACTTCGGGGGATCGACTCGCACACCAGCAGCATGGAGGGGTGCTACCTCAAGTAGCACTCACACAGAGCCTTTGTGAAAGACTCCAGGCCATAGGGCTTTTGAGGGGCAGCCTCTTCGACAGCTAAATGCTGGAGAATTGAGGCTTCCCTCTGCCCTGACGATCCTGCTGCTGTGTGGACCTAAGGCACAAGCTGATTCAACTGGGACAAGTGCTGGACATCGAGTGGAATATCGCTTACTGTGAGCGAGGTCAGCGAAATGACTGACAATGAACGTGAGTTCAAAATAAATGGACTATTTTAAAAGCAAACTACCCCCCATGGGAAAAGCGGTGCACAAAGAGGGACACCTCTTATGCGAACGGACAGATAAGCGTAATGAAGGGGGCAGGGGGGAAACAAGCAGTAATTTTGTTTTGAGGGACTTACTTGAGCACTGACATTGAGGTGATGATTTTTCGAGTCCGCAAGAAGCAGTTTGGAATTGTAAACAATCGTATAAAATGGCGGCCTCGCAAAGAAAGTTTAAAGTGAAACCGGTGGGTAGTCAGAGCCCAAAACCAGAAGAGAGAGCAGACGTCATGAAAATGTTAATGGATATGCTCAAGCCGGTGATGGAACAACTCGATGGTATTAACCAGCAACTGACCTCGCTGAATCAAAACTTCATATCCCAGCAGCTGCAACTGGCATAAACGGCGAAGAAGGTGAAGCATACAACTGAGAGAATTAAAGAGATAGACACCACAAACAAGAAAATGAAGAAAAGAATGCGGGAAGTTGAAGCAAAACAAAACCTCCAAGAAAACCGTTTGTTACAGCTACAAATGGAAAAAGCCAACATGATTCTCAGATTCCAGGGAGTGCCTGAATCGCAAACGGAGGATCTGAGGAAGTTGCTTAGCAAGATCATTGCTCCAGCAATAGGCTCAACAGCAGATGAACTGGTAAAAGAGATGGAGACTGCTTATTAAAAAATAGCCTGCCTGGAGAAATTGTGGTCAGATTCTCAAGAAGACAGACCAGAGATGCTATTTTAAAAGCGACTTCAGCAACTCCACTGAAAATGGGGAATATAAACATTAAAACTTTAAAAGACATTCCATTTGAAATTCGCCAAAAGAGGAAAAGCTATAAGGAATTAATTTCTTTTCTTTAAACCAATGGAATTTCGTACAGGTGGGCGATCCCAGAGGGTGTCATCTTTAAAATCAACAACAAAAGAGAAAAGATTGACTCCATTTTCAAAGCCAAAGAATTTTTGAGACGCCAGTTGGGAATGAAAGAAGAATCCAAAGATAAAGAATCGAAATCAAGTGACTCTGCTACCCCTGGAACAGAAGAGGACTCTGCTGTAGAAATGGGTGCAGGCGCAACGAAAGTTACATATGATTTCAGAGACAGAAAACCGAAGTAAAGGCAGAAGGACTCTGAAAATTGCCTTTTGAAGCAACTAACAAGAAGATGCTCAGAAAGTTCTCTCACAACAACTAACATACTAACATTGAAACCAAGACAAACAAGAACTCTACAAGAATATTGTTGTACTAACATTTTTATTAATAACATTTAGACTAACACGGATATGATCTCCTCCTCTTGGGTTTTTAGTGTAGTGTGGTTATCTATCCTTTATCCTTAGATGTTATCCCCACTCCCTCATATTTTCTTTGTAGTTTTGTAGTCTTATAAAAATAATAAAAAATATTCCTCCAGGGATTTAAAAAAAATATCCACAAGTGTAGGATATACATGGAAAATTCATCCTGAATTTGGGTGCTTACCAGCAATGAAGAATATACTCCTGTTTTCTTTGATTCTATGGATTTTCCAGACAATTGAGTGCTCTTACCCAATCACCTTTGGAGACAAAAGCTGCAAATAGGTGCTATTCTTCTTTGCTTCCTCTTTTGAAGATGTGGAGCCTTTTCTTTCTCTGAAAGTAGGAAGTCTGGGGCAACTTTTTAAGAACTGGAACCCTTGGTCCAATTTGCTTCAACCGAGGGTTCTTTATTGGACAGGCGACACTGGTTCCCCATAGCTTTGGTGTCGGAACATATGGTCACCTAAACTGTATTATAAATAACTTTGCTCTTGCTCTTATCAGATCATGTTCCAGCATTTTAGGAGTATTTTAATTGATTGTTATTTTATGTTCATATGTCTATGAAAGGTTTTAATTGTATTTTATATGAAATTTTATGTAAGCCGCACTGAGCCTGTCTCGGCGGGGAGGGCGGGGAATAAACCTAATTCATTGATTAAATAAATAAATAAATGTATTCATGTGCTGTGACCACCAATTTTAATATGGGGGGGGGATGCCCCATAAAGAATAATGGCAAAGCTGGGGTTTCTGTTCACTTTTTCTTCCCCCTTGCCTTTATGCGAATGAAGCCCCCTTTTCCTCTTTCAGTAAGATAGTTGGGTAACATTGTTCAGGGACATAGAATTGGATTCTTTGGTCCAATTCACTTGAAACCTACGGGTTATTTAGTTCACAGGTAGTAGTAGGTCCACGGCAGTATTGCTGATATTTGGATGACAATCAACCACTCAATCCTCCCCCAAAAGTTCCTTCAGAATCAAAGAAAACAGGAAACTAAGAACAGGCAACGACAGGAAGGATATCAAATACAGTGTTTCCAGCAGAAAGGATACACAAATATTCTCAATCACTGTAAGAGCAGGAAAATGAAAGTAATGCAGACACTTAAAAAAAATGACCATGGCTGGAACTGTGTTCACCAGATAGGAATCAATGGAGGGAACTTGGGGGGGGGGGGTTTACTTGGGGGGAGGGGGTTTAAATCAGACATTTTGGTCCAGCTCACTTGAAACTTGATGGGTGGTTTTTATGTTAAGAGGGCTATGTTCTGTGCAAATTTGTTACCATTTACATTAGAAGATGCTGCCTCAGAGCATCCAATAGATTCCCCACTGAAAGCAATGGTCCCAAAGTATGGCAACCAAAAAAAAAAAAATCCCCCCCAAATCCCAAATAAGAAAGTATAGCACATTTTTTTCCTTTGTGCACACCCTGCTTGACCTTTGTGCTTACTACAATCTGCTTATCCTTCCCCAAGTACAACACATATATTTATCATCATTTTAAAAAAATTATTGGGGTATTGAAAAAAGTAATTGACTACACAGCCTAATGTCTTCTCCCAAAGAAAAAGTTGTCCATGACTCTCATCCAAATCGACCAAAAGGCATCATGAAAAAATATTTCACTCTATCATATCTGGAAAAATGCAATCGATACCAAGTGTTGTAAAGAATAGATATTTTGTTATTTTAAAATATATAACTTGTTAGCACTTGATTGCAGGCTGTGGTCTTGTCTTGAATTTTGAGTTTGATCAAACAAGAAAAAGACACAGACAGGCAAGAAATAATAACAACAACAACAACAGTAATCCATGAGTTAGGCATCTGAAGGGTGGAGCAGACCTTGAGCAAGTTGAAATAGTTACCTCATTAAAAATGGTTTGCCACACAATCATTTTCTCATGAATTATGAATTCTTGTCCTTCAGGAGCATTGGAATTTACCCTTCCAATTTTCACCCTATGGAAGGACTTGTTTTTAAAAGTGACCAGGTTCATCATATCAAATCCACCTTCCATTTCCCTTTTATCATTCAAAGACAATCTTTCTCCAGCTGAGTTGTTGAATGTAATGCCTTGTAGGAAAGTGTGGACCTAGTTAAAAGAGGGAAACAAATCAACACACTGGAATCTTAGGTTTGAGATATACCAGTGAAATACTTTCATGTTGTTTCAGATAGACTCAGCCTGTGAATAGAATTTTAATGTGAACAAGCCTGTCAATATACAGTGTATCCCCCCCCTCCCATGGTCTGATCACGACAAGAGATAAGAATGCACAAAAAGTTTGTCACCAAATGACAATATCATTGGACCAGTTGGGGAAAGTTGAGTATTGTTTCATCTTATACAAACATAGACATGGAAACAGAAATATTTACTTGGGCTGACATACCTGCCAAGGCTGGAATTCTTGAAGTTTCATTATTTGACCACCATCTATCACCCTGTGATTGGCTCTGGATGAGTAAAGGACATGAATCGCGTGCACTATAGCATAAACTGCATTGTAGATGCTGTAGCTGTGACCACTCATATGCATTTCGAATAGAGGCCCAGGAAGACTCTCCAGCCTCTCATCTCCGGTACAGGTTTCACTGACATCCACTGGCTCCTGGGGATTTGGATATAAACAGTCAAATGCTTGCTCCCAGAATTCCTTAAGAAATTCATTTCCTTGCTGCTGATAAGGCTTTATGTCTTGAAGAAACCTTTGGAAGCCAAGAGGCTCATTTGAGTGAATTGAGAACAAAATGGACCCATGGAAGAATTCAAAATCCCAGACCCTGTGAAGGCCTGTTAATGCAAAATCAACTTGAGTTGTCATAATCCATACTTTTCTCAATGATGCATTTTCTCCATAATTGGGATCACCTAGAAATATATGAGTACAAAGTGTTATAAAGACCATCGTTACTCCATAGACGATAAATGTATTGACTTTGCTGTCCCTCAAAGGTAAATTTATATTTAACGATAAATCAGTGGCATAATCCAAGTAATCCCATTTGTAGTTGTTAGGAATTTTCTGTATCAAAGCCAAACAGATTCCATGTTGGGAAAGCAGTGGTTCCAGAACCTTCAAGAAATGTTCTCCACTGTCATCATCCACAGCAAAAAGCCCAACCCACGTCCATTGGAAATGGCAAAGTAACCGGATGATCCCCATATTCTGATGAGCTTCATTTGGGACCATGTGGTAAAATAAAGGGGAGTGTTTTGCATCTCTCTGCTCTAGGCCAAAAGATCCATATGTCAGCTAAAAATAAGTGTACACATATGTTAGATGTGTGTTAGAAGTACTCTTTGAGTACAAGTGATCATATGTACGTTTTGTGAAGGAAACTGTCGATTTGAGAAGAGTTAAAATCAAACACTGTTCTCGTTGATCAGTCATAGACTGTAGACATTTAGGGCAATTCCTGTCGGGGAACTTTGTAGAAAGGATCTCACACTATCACATGAACACATACAGTACCCTGATATTGAGGAAGATCCTTGATTCATTATAGTCACTATTATGTGGCAGCAGCTCTCATGGCATTCAGGTCCTTCATACCATCTACTACTTGAATCCTTTAACTGGAAATGCCAGGAATCGAAACTGGGGCTTTCTGTAAGTAGAGCAGATGCTCTAACATTTAACCCCATCCCTTCCTCATTAACGTCTACATTATTTTTTCTCACTTATGTGAAGCGACTTTTCTTGGGTTGGTTCTTTGTGGATAGTCACACCTCTCCATCTTCCTTAACCCCAGTGAAACTCCCCCAAAATTGTAACCTATTAAAATACCTTTTCCAAATCATAGATCTTACCTGTGGAATTTTGTAGAGACTTAGGATGTCTGATATGTGGAAGGACGTATCAGAGCTAAATCCCCCAATGACAGCAGTTAGGTTTTTGTGGGCATCACATTCATAGTTAGGAAAATATCGATGCAATTTATAGAGCAGATCAAAGGTGGTGCGACATGTCATCCTTGTGTCATGGTAGTCGTCAAAGATGTGATACCCGAGAGTGATGTTTGGCAAGATTCTGGGATTTTTGTTGATCTCATTTACCGCAAACACCAAGGCCAAGACGTGCTGGTGAAACTTGGTCACCATACTGTAAACAAAGATATGGAGATTTGAAGACAATTGTATCAACAGATAAATTGGCACTGTTAAATCACATATTGGAACAGTGTGAAGGAGTCTGAATGTATGAATAATAAAATCTCATGCAGAGCATAAACTGGTAATTCAATAACTTCATTTACAAAGGTATATTCTCAACTCTCTCCTACATATCTGAGGATACCTATGTATTTTTTCTACTCTATTGTGTGTTTAAAGAAAAATCAACCTCTTGGCAAGGGCCCAGCTGTTCCAGAATAAATGAAAACACCCTACACAAGACAAAATGTAAGGGTGGCAGAGAGTTACAAAGGCAATGATTCAAACAAGGGTGCTACAAGCATGTCTCTGTCTATAAAAGTTTGGAGGGTGTGTTCTTTCTGGATGAAGACAGGCCAGGTGAACTACAAGCAAGGCTGAATAAAGAAGATTCAAAATGTGGTGGAAAAGGAGGAGCACTAGGTTGGGGTAAGAGTCCACCTTCTTCCTTTGAGCAGCCTTTCCCTTGTATAAGCCAATGCCAATTTGCAGGACTGGACCAAGTTCAATTTGCAGGACTCGACCAAGTTCACAAGAAACAACAACATAACAGTTCCTTACTATGGATCTCTATATAACTCCTGAGCAGGATGTTGATGGAAGGCAACATCATGCAAATGGTAGAATAACTGAGAAACAATTTCACCAATGAGGAGATCTCCAGGCTGGTACCATCGATGTGGAACCGGGAGAGGATCCTTCATGTGACACTTTGTGGCATCTGCTTTGCACGCAATCAGATGCAGAAGCAGCAACAGCATCACTAGTCCCAACATGCTTACAGGAAAGCTTTATTGTTCCTGCGCCTGTTTACAGCTCTGTCTCTTCTTTCATGAGACGACTTTGGTGGGTGTCTGAGAACACAAATACACTTTCTGCAAGGAAATTGACACACCACGGTAAAGGTTTCAGCAACAGAAATGCATGCCTGTTCAGACCAGAAAACTCTGATGGTGTATCTCCTTTAAAAACGCCACATATGAGCAACCAAACTGACGTTCAAAGAGTTCCTCATCTCAGCAGTCGATGGCTGAATGGTTCTATAAGTATTGTCATGCTGATTGCTTTCTAGAACCTTCTGAAGAGCAAAGGGAGGTTTGGAGTAGAAAATTAAATTACAGTGATTTGGACAGTTCCAAGGGGAATAGTTACTTCTGCCAATAATAGCACTGGGAAGTTTGGTAGCAAAGAGGTTTTATTATTTTTTCCAGTTCTGAGCGTAACTTTGTTCTGTCAATTTGGTGTAGTGGTTAAGTGTGCAGACTCTAATCTGGGAGAACCGGGTTTGAGTCCCCACTCCTCCACTCACAGCTGCTGGATGACCTTGGGCAAGCAAAGTTCTGTCAAAGGTGTTCTTGAAAAGAGCAGTCTGTTAGAGCTCTCTCAGCCCCACCTACCTCACAGGGTGTCTGTTGTGGGGAGGGGAAGGGAAATGAGTTTGTAAGCCACTCTTAGACTCTGGGTGAAGGGTGGGGTATAAATTCAATCTCTTCTTCCTCTTCCTCTTCCTCTTCCTCTTGATAAAAATGGTAGCAAGAGAGCATTAATTGAGTGGTAATTGAGAGAACAGTAGCTGAGCAGCTCCAATGTTTCCTGGATGACACATTGGCATTGACTCCCGATGGAGTACCGGGTCAGGTTCAAGGTTTTGTTATTCACAAAATAGTTTATAGGGGCTTGAGCAGTCTGGGGCCCATGTATCATTGGGACCGTCTTCTCTGGTATGTCTCCCAAAGATTTTTATGCCCTGCTGAGAACAACTTACTTGTGATCCCTAGCCCTAAAGACATCCAGCTGTCCTTGACCAGAGTCAAGCCTTTTTCAGCCCCAGCTCCTACCTGGTGGAACTCTCTGCCAAATAACATTCATGCCCTGTGGGGCAAGGCAGAGATGTTCCATCAGGCTTTTGGTTGAGGACAGCAATTGTTGTTGTTGTTCAGTCGCACAGTCGAGTCCGACTCTTTGCGACCCCATGGACCAGCTCCCGCCAGGCCTTCTGGTCTTCCGCCGTCCGCTGAAGTTTGCTCAACTTCATGTTCGTTGCATCGAAGACACTGTCTAACCATCTCATCCTTTGCCGTCCCTGTCTTCTTTGACCTTCAGTCTTTCCCAGCATCAGGGTCTTCTCCAGTGAGTGCTCCCTTCTCATTTGGTGGCCAAGGTATTTGAGCTTCAGTTTCATTATCTGGCCTTCCAGGGAACAGTCAGGGTTGATTGAAAGGCACTCCCTTTCCTTTCCCCACCCTGCTTTCTCTCCCTTATTGTGAGACAGTGATGCAAATTGTAAACTTGTTTTGGCACCATCTGTTGGTGCCTTTAGCTATTTTAATTCCTTGGCTTTTAAATTGTGCAACATGATGTTGGTAACTGCCCTGAGCTCTGTGAACTTAGAGAAGGGTGGTATATAAATTGAAAAATAAGACGTGCATGGTGAGCAAATGTAACTCAGCAGAACCCTGGCTTATGTCCATTTATTCTTTGCATCCTCCTGCACTGAATCCTCCTGGACCGAATTGAGACTTAGGTTTCTGTCTCATTACCAAAGCTGATATCTCCATGCCTACTACCACGCTGCATATCAAATGTAATCCAATCATGCCTGCTATTGCCATTTGGCATCTGAAATAATCTTGATAAAGTTTGTATCTCTGGTATTTTGTGGTCCCGGTCACACAGGCAGGAAAATGCGGGGGGGAAGCACGGCTGTTCGCCCCGGAGCAAAATAGTGTGTGGTTGCATGATCATACCCCCCCTTGAGGTCCCGTAGAGGTTCCGTGGTCATGGGGGAGGTGCCGATCACATGACCATCCTGCAGCGTGGCAAAGAAGCGGCGCGGCGCGATCACACCAGCAATCACTCTGTGCCACTTCCATGGCAAACTGGGGGGTTTTTTGTTCATCGAACTTTGTGCATGTGCATGAATCAGATGAGCAAAACTCTGCACATGCACGCAAACGGAAACCGGTCACGGCCGTCAGTCCGTCACGGGAATGCGGAAGCCGGGTGGTGGGTCCAACAGAGAGGGTGACAGACGCTACCAGACCCCAATAGAGCTCCGACGGACAGGCGATGCAGGTGGAGGTGGGCTCCCTCATCACATCCGCCCTAACTGCCTGTGTGACAATGGCCATAGCAACCCTCCAGAGGCGGCAAGCCTGGCTACAGTGGGAGGGGACAATAGGTGCAGCCAGGAGACAGAGGAATGCCATGGCCACCACACAGCTAGCCAGGCATCGACGCCACAGTAGGCAGCGGAAGACCCACAGAAGAAGGGAGACACTCCAGCTACTCCGTCTCTCTGTGGACTGTCCAAGCTGATGCTGGTGGGCATGCCCAAGACCCAAGGAATGGTGGGAAACCTTTGTCACTCATGTCTGGGGCAATGAGCACTGGGTTGAGAACTTCAGGATGTCCAGGTAACATGTGGAGGTCGTATGTCAGCCGCAGCCTCGCGCCCATGGCATGCTGGCCACAATCGACATTGTGGCCACTATTGTCAGTAGGGCCCTCTCCCAGCAGCCATTTGGCGGAGGGAGAGGGGTGAGGCTGTGCCATGGGCACCGACATATCCACACCCAGGATCCCGAGGACAGTGCAGCATGTGGCGATCCATGGCCCTGGGCAAGCTCAGAATGCAGGCACAGTGGCACAGCAGTACACGAGGGCCCTTGGGACTATGGCGTTGCAGCCCACAGATCATGGAGGAGGGAGGGGGCCGGCCAAGGGGCCCCCATGACAGCCGTTACCTGATCAAGGCAGTCCCATGTCGCCATGTATCTGCAGGTCAACATTCATGTGGCTGGTGGATGCCCTCCGGGATAGACTGCAGCGACAGCGTACGGTGATGTGTGAACCCGTGTCAGTGGAGGAACGTGTCACGGTCAGTGTGTGGTGGATGGCCAAAATCATGTCCTACAGAACCATTGGACAGCAGTTCGGTCTCGCACGGTCCACCGTGGCTGGCATCGTGATGGAGGTGACAGGGGCCATCACAGAGGAGCTCCACCAGAGACTGGTGTACCTATGGAACCCAGACAGGGTGCAGACAGGAGGGGACGGGGAGGGAGGTGGGTCGGGGGACCCAATGGGGTAGTGGGAGCCGGCAGGGAGATAGAGAGTCAGCCCCATGGGAGGTGGCATCCCTTGCGTTCCCCCCTCCGGGTCCCAAGTGGGTGCGAGACCCGTCACTCTCTGTGTGCCAATATAGGTAATGAGGTCCTTCGCTGCTGAGGGCTTTCCGCAGTGCGTTGCCGCAATGGATGGTTGCCACATCCATGTGCGAGTACCTGCCCACCTGGCACAGTACTACATGACACGAACAAAAAAGGGGGGAAGGGAAAAGGGGGGAAAGGGGGGGGATGAAAGAAAACTCAACCCAAAAAGCTGCTATGAATCCACAAGGGTTAAGCTGACACTAAATATTATAAACATACAAAATTTATTCAGGTGTACACATTTTTAAAAAACTTAGACTCATTAAAAATATTCACATTCAGACATAAAAAA